GCCTTAATGGTGGAAGATGTATACTGCTCCTTAACATAGAGTAGCTACCCCCCCTCCTTTTTTCCCCACTGTCACACCTATACAACCTATACCCCTCAATGCCTACCGCCCAGTCATTTGTAGAATCCCACCATGTCTCGGTTAGTCCGACTAGGTCATACTGGGTGCTAGCAAGCAAGAGTGTGAGCTCCTGCTGCTTGTTCCCCATACTCCTGGCATTTGTATAAAGACACGTTAGTCCCCCAAAGGGGACTCTTGGTACCCCTGTGCCTTGATGGCGTGTGTTCCCTTTATTACTTACCTGGTGTGGTCTGGTGTCTTGTTTATGGCTTACCAACCCCTTAATACTTACCTGGTGCGATCTGGCATCTTGTTTGTGGTATATCAACCCTGGGCTCTCTTCGACTACCGGTTCCCTGACCCCCGTTGAGCCTACTTAAAAACTCTTTGGAGGAGATCAGCCAACCTGTGGGCGAACAGATACTTACCTCTGGGAGAGAGATGAAGATCATCATCTCCCAGGAAGCCTCCTCCCTGGAAGTGCTGGTCATGGCTGTAGAATCCGAAGCTCTCCTGAAGACACCAACTCTGGAGCCGCTGGTTGACTTCCTTGATGCAGGCACCCTGGTGTCTCCGGCTGCTGCCAACCAGAAGGATGGAAGAAAATACGACTTCCAGTCTTCTTGAGGCTGTCTCCCAGTTCATGGAAGTCCTTCGTGATGCGGTCAGGGCTGGTCCTAGCCGCATCGTTGGTTCCCACATGGACGAGGACCATGGGGTAGCAGTCAGAGGGCTTAATGAGAGCAGGAATCGCCTCAGTGATATTCCTGATCCTAGCTCCAGGCATGCAGGAGACTTCTCTCACCATAGGATCCGGTTGAAAAACCGGCCTCTCCGTGCCTCTCGGGATCGAGTTGCCCACCACAATTACTCGGTGTTTCTTCTTCTGTCTGGGCAGTGATCCCCCAGCCTGCCCAGTAGGGGATATAGGGATCACCACCTCTGCAGGAAAATGCTCCTCCTCTGTCTCCTTCACAGTTGTCAGGGCCCCATATCTGTTCCCCACACGCAATGGAGAAGCACACACCAGGCCCTGCCACCTGGATCCAGAGGTGGCTGTCCTCCACTCCCCTGCTGCAGACTCCTTGCGTGGAGTTTCACCCGTGGGCATCTGCAGCTGTAAGGAATGGAAATACCCGTCAATCACAGCCTCATCATCCCTGATCCCCCTTAGCCTGCTCACTGCCTCCTGGAGTTCCCTCACTTGCTCCTCCAACGCCTGAAGGTGGGCACATGAGGGACAGGTGAGGGGGCTCCCCCCCTCCCCCAATGGCAGGGTCATCGCCAGGCCACCTCTGCAGACAGGGGGGCAGGGCTCCATCTGAGTGGACACCTCAGAGGAACCATGGGTGGGCAGCGCCATCTGAGCTGCACCTGCTTCCCGTGCTCTTACCTTAGCTGCTGAGCTTTGAGTCATCATCGCTCTTGCTAGGTGCTCCTTCTTGTCACTTACTCTTTGTGCACCTGCTGTGCATGAATGCCTGCGCAAATGCAGGCGCGCCCTTACAGAGCGCGCCTGTTTGCACACACTGTTCATGCGTGGCTTGGGAGCACAGCTCCCTGCCTAGCTCAGCAAAGAGGGATCTGGGGGCTTCCCCTCCGGATCCTCTGCAGCTGCGCCGGCTCCTGCCCGACTTACCTTTGGGGGGGGTCAGCTGCTGCTGCTGCCCCCGCTGTTGCTTCTCAGCCTCCGCCACCTCAGGTACATTGCAGGGGGCACATGTGTGCTGAGAGCCCGCACGTGTGCCCAGTCAGCCTCTTCTCCCTCCTACTGCACCCAACTTATGTTTCCTGCTGTAGATGTTGCAGTGTTGAGCACAGGAATTGGTATGATTGATATGCTTTTGTTTAGTCTGAAGAGGAGGTACAGGAGGAAATGGGCTAAATGAGCAAGAAGCAGAGAAAAGGCAGAAGAAAGAATACTGCTTTTTTTTTTTTTTTTTTTTTTTTGCAAAAATATAAATAAATAAATAAATAAATATATATAAACTGTGCCTCTAACAACCTGTTAAGTGACCACTGTGGTTCACTTGGCAGACCAAAACATACTTCCCCAGTTAAACTATTTTAGTCCTGTTACACAGTTCATACCACACACCCACACTGGGAGCCTACTACAAGGATAAGTTAGTGCAGCCCATCTGAACAAGATATATTCACTGTCCCTCAGCACTGACTCTTTTTCAAGTCATGGTGAGCTACTATATTGAATACATTTCAACTTCTTCTTCACTCCCACATCTAAGCTGTGTCTTTATTTCCTATTTCCAATAATTTCTGTTTTTTTACCAGTCACAAATTTCTGGCAAATATGACCAAACAAGCTCCAAACAGTTCACCAAGAATCCCTCAGCCTGTTGCATATGGCTAGTGTGGGCCTGCCCTCCATGAGGTGGAGCTGGACCAGGTTGCTCTGTGCCTCATCTGCATATAAATTTTTGGAGGAACCCAGGATTCATAAGAAGAACACCTGGACCCAGTCATGATTGCGGGGTTAAGTAGCACATTGATCCTTTGTGGGGATTTCTGGAGTACACAAACATAGTGAGCAGTGCTGAACTATGGGGTCGCAATAGATTGAAATGCTGTTGACTGCTGGGAACTAGCCCAGTGAACTTCATGGTAAACCATGAGCCTTTTGACTTTGAACTAATACCATGCATAGTTTGTACTATATATAATAGTTTATACTATATATAGGTGCCAAAGTGCTGCTTGAAAGTGTGTTTATGGAGTACCTGTGCTAAAACTTACAGCAATTTCAGAAAAAATAAAATGCATCAATTCTGGATGAACTAAGTCTATGGTCAGAGGAGACAAGGGATTGGATTTAGTGCAGCATTGAAGGGAAAAATATCTGCAACTGCTAGTTCAGAGGATGATGTTCTGCTACTGTTATAGTTCTGTTAATTCAAGTTGCAGGGGTTACACTGTGGATTTGAGATGTTTCAGTTTTGCTGATTGTAATATGTTGTGTTGGGATGATGCCATATGATGGAATGTCTTTTTTCAGTTTGTTTTTGTAAAAGATTTAGGAAATTACATACATTTAAATTTAGATTAAAAGACTAATGGTGGAGAGTCGGTCAAAATTGGGAAGTGCCAAAATAAAATTTGCCTCTAATTTAGTCTCTTTTATGTGTATGCATTGGTATAATATTCAGTTACATGTTCCGAAGTATTTTTCCCCACAGGACTGCTTCATTCAGTACATAGGAGGGGGGCTGTTGTGGAGTTGATCAGATTTTCAGAGTTAGAGGCTCTTCCAGAAAGAGATCCTGGATTTTACAAAGCAGGTGTGTAGTTACTACAACTTGTGCTCCAGAGATGGCTACAGCACCTGCTCCTAGCCTCCCCTCACCTCCTGCCTCCTTCTGTGCTCCAGGAACAGCAGGCCGGTTCTTAAGTCCTTAAAAAGGTAACAATTCCTCCCCTTTCCCCTTCCCCTCCATGCTCAGAAGCGTGTCCTCTTCCCTCCCCTCTCTCCCCTCCTCTACCTGCCACTGTCAGCAGCTAGGCTGCCCAGGTAGCATTCACTGGGGATGTTGGCAGTGGTGGGTGGGCACATTCCACCTCCCCACACCTGCTCCTGAGTTGGAAAGGAACACCATGTGGGAGCAGGCAAGGAGGGAACACTACACCAGGCTTATTCAACATACGGCCAGCGTGCCGCCATGTGGCCCGGCAAGCCATTTTATCTGGCCTGAGGCGCCTGCTCCATGCTCCACGGCAGCGGTGAGGCGAGGCAGGCAGGGGCGGCCCGCGTGCCCCAGCTGGGAGTGAGGGGAGGGGAGCTGCTTACCCCGGCGGGGCTGGGCTCATCACATGAGCCGGGTCCCACTGCCGCTGCCCTGAGGGCTGCGAGGTGCGGGGCTGCCCCAGCCACGCCTGATTGAACGAGCTGGGGGTAGTGCATGGACTTCTTCTCTGGCTCCACCCCTTGCCCCTGGCATGTGGCCGAGGGAGCTGCAGCATGGCCCATACCCTGCCCGTATACGTGGTGGATGGAGGCACGAGTAAGTTCCCGCGCGGAGCTGGGGGCGCCTCGGGGCTGGGCCGGGGCTGCGGGGCACGCGGTTGCTGGAGCTGGGCTGGGCGGGAGGCAGGAGGAGCCCAGCCCAGAGGCGCTCTACACCCAGCCACAACTGGGGATCCTAATGCCCCAGCCCTTATTAAAAGTGGGAGCTGCTGGTCTGGTGCACTGTGAGGACATTAGATGCGCTTTGCTCAAAAGCAGGCTGCCAGCAATTGAATCACTGGAATCTTATGAGGGTGAGAGGCTGCATGCAGGTCCCTTGACACTTTGGTGGGCGAGTGTTGCCTGTATGTGTGTTGGGTGTGGGTACAGGGGTCTGTATGTGAGGGCAGCATTGGGGTGAAAGGGTCAACAAGGAGTATGTGTGTGAGGGGGTTCATAGTGATGTGGGGGGGCTGGGAGTGGGTGTAGGGATGAATAGGGGGTGCATGTAGGGAAGGGTATAGGGAGCCTGTGTGTGTGGGGGGGAAGAGGGGGTGCTGGAAACACCTGTAGGAATGAGTAGGGAGATGTGAAGGGAGTACATATGTTTGGATGGGCTTCCCTAGCGGTCAGGTTTCATGTTGCCATCAATCTTTGTGTAGAAAAGGGCAGTTTATTTTAAGACTGGATGATGCTGACAAGCCCTTCTGATGTTGCCATTTAAATTATGGTCAACATTTAAAACCAGGGTTTTAAAATATTATAATGTACTTATATTATGCTCCTAAATACTCCTATCTAAAGTATTTCTCTCCTTGGAGCAGTTTTAGACTTCAGTAAAATACTATTTCTGTCTTTGGATTATTTAACAAATAATAACAAAAGAAGCTCTTCTGTTTTCCAGTCTTATAAGAGATATGTTCAGCCTTATAAGAGGCTGATCATCCTGGTAGCTCTTCTCTGTATGTCTGGTTTGACCAGTCTGGATGACCAGTATAGTATACAACATTCCAGATGAGATCACTCTCCAGTGCTTTGTGCTATGGCTCTATTGTAGATCTCTAGTAGAAATAACTCTTCTGATACATCCTAGGATTGTTTGCCTCTTTATGGCAGCATCACACTGGTGCATAGACATTATTTCTGATCTCCCATTGTTTCTAGGTCGGAGCGGGCCTGCGTGGACTCCAGGGGGCTGCACCAGGAAGTGCCGGCAAGGGGGAGGGGCCACTTTTGCCTTGCACTGAGCAGCAGTTTGTCCCATGCTGCTGCTGCTCAGTCCAGATGGGTGAGCCCAGAGCTGGCACGGCGCACATGGGGTTGGAGCTGCATGTGCTGGTCCTTGTCTGTACTGTGGGGCTGGGGCCAGCTGCACCAGCAAAAGACCTGCTGCTGCCAGGGTTACCTAGAAAGGCAGTCCTGCCATGGAGGCGCCCCAGCTCCGCTGCATGTCTGGGTGGCACCTCAGCCAGGCGGGACTGAGGGACCTGCTGCGGGCTGGACAGAGCCCTTCTGTGGGCCATATTTTGTCCACTCCTGTTCTAGTTGGTGAGCTTCAGATTTATAACAGATGATTTCCTAAGTCCCTAAGTGCATGATGTGGCTTTTTTTTTATTAAACTTTACCTTCTTTTTTATTACTTCAGCCCTCAAGGTCATTTAGTTCTCTCTGTATAATATTTCTGTCCTTCCAACATTGTGTCATCATCATATTTCATCAGTACACTCATACTTCTTGTATACAGTCATTAATGAAAATAAGAAACAAGATTGCTCCTAAGATGAATCTGGATCTTGAGGAAATCTACTAGTATCCTCCCTTAGGCACGATGCTTTCATTTCAACCTTATGATTGCCATCTTGCCTTAGTCATCTGCCTTCTTGCTGTACAATTATTTTATTAATGCACATAGTCTCTAACTTAAGAAATAGTTTCCCATGTGGCACTGTATCAAATGGTTTACACAAGTCTAGACAGGTAAAATAAACCATGTTTCCTTTGTCTAGAAAATCATTTATCTTATCAAGGGAAATGATCAAGTTAGTCTAGTATGATCTACCTTTGGTAAAGCCATATTGCATATTTTCAATTCATTCCCATGTGTAGGGTATCCTTGCTCTCATCTTTCATGTTTCAGGTCTTTGTCTGGTAAATGGAGATGGAAATACCCCCTTACCTAACAGCTTATAGTGAAATTAATGTTTGTGAAGCATATGGACACTGCAGTGATGACCTCCATAGAAATTTCCATGAGGAAATCAGTAACTGTATTCAGAGCAGAGATTCAGTGGTGTGCTGTAAATACCATACATTGAACAACGAAGACCATGCAAAGTATCAAGCTATTGTTTAAATAAACACTGACCAGTCTGTGAATGGAATGAGGACAGGTTCCTGTGGAAAAGACACTATAAAAGTACATACTTAAAATGTATTATACATACAAGACAAGTGGGTATGTTAAGGTTACATAGACTCCATAATTCAGGCATTTTCTGACATTTGAGTGCTTGATTTTGCAAACCATATATTGATCTTTAATGTATTTTTGTGCACACAAGCTGTCATAGATTTATTTATAAAAGGAGATTCTCCTTTTGATAATATACCTGTCTTAGGCTTCCAAAATTGATTCAACAAATTTGTGAGTAAAATTTTCAAAAATTTCAAAACCTGATGACATGGGAACCTAACTCTCATTGCAAGTCAATAGGTCTTACACTGCTGCGTTTTTCATGGGGCTAGATCCAATAAGGCATGGGGTTGGCAACCCCTGGCACACATGCCAGAGCATGGCACATGAGGTCATTTTGCTTGGCACGCCATAGCTGGCCCAGGCTCTGGGCAGCTGCCATGAGCCATGAAGCCCGGGTTGCTCTCAGCAGGCAGCTGGGAGGCTGTAAGCCCCACTATGAGCAGCTTGGGCTCCATGGCAGGCAGCAGCTGCCCAGAGCCAAGGCCAGATGTGACAGGCAGCCAGGAGGCTACAACCAGCTCACTGGGTCCATAGTCCTGACCCATTCTCCACCATGCACCATGTGTGTGCAACCACTGCTGCCATGGAGCCAGGCCGGGGCTCCGGACACCAGGGCTCTGGACTCCAGAGCAGCTATTTGCAGTGTGCTTGCTGCCTGCTGCAAGCAGTTTGGGCTCTGTGGTGGTGACTGCACATGTGCCTCTGGGTGCACAGTGGGGAATGGGCCAGGGCTCTGTGGCAGGCAGCACGGGCCTGCCCAGAGCTTGGGCCCCTCATCGTCCGACCTTAGCATGCCAGCATCTTCCAAGTTCAGGTTGCAGGGTTTTTTTTGGCACTTAGCCCCAAAATGCTGCCAACCCCGCAGTAAGGGGGGAGACTTGGGTATCTCAATAATCCTAAAAGTCTGCATTTTGAGAAGCCAGTTGTACAGAATGATGCATTAGGAAACACTAAGCATATGAGTGTGCCTGATATTCTACCCCTGTCTGAAGGGGTTGCAGACAGGGGCCTCTGCCTCAGAGTCCATAACTTGGAATCTTCTCTTTAGCCAGATGCTTACAGCTGTTCTATCAAAGCACTGAGCAGGGCTCTCTACTTGTAAAGTGGCTTGCTGGAGGAAGATGATGAGGTAGAGGCAGTGTTTCATACAATGACATGGCTGCTCACCAGGAGGTAGGAAGCCTGGGTTCTAGGTCCTCCTCAGCCTGAAGGGGTTCAAGCCTACATTTCCCACCTACTAGAAGAATGCCTTAACTCCAGAAAGCTATTGTCTAGGTTATCTGGGGCTCTTTCTAATTTCAATTTTTTTTCCTGTGATTTATGCATTTTCATTTGCTGCCAAGGTATTTCAATAGATTTAGTCGGACATTTTCCCCCTCTACTTTGTAAGGTCTTTCTTACATCTCTCTATCTCTGTCTTGTCAAACAATTCTGGAGAAAGTTATAGTGGTCTCATTTTATTTTTTATAAAAAAAGTTTGTCATGTATATGTGAAAAGGGCAAATAATTATCTTAGTGTGATCTCTGCTGAGGTTTTTTGGCTTTTTTGTTCTGCAGATAGGGTCTGGAGTAGTATAAAGGGGACCTAAAAGCCATTGTGTGTGCCACGGCAGGATTCCCTGGATACAGCACATAGGGAAAAAGAGGTGTGTAACTTGTGCCAAAGTTAGGGTTACAACTCTGGAGCCTGTAAGGCAGCTCAGAGAGGTGGCAGTAGTGCTGATAAGTCTTTGAGGGCTGTAAGTTACTGGTATGTTAGGGGTTCTAAAGCAGTTTGAGATCAGGTGTGTACAAAGGTACCTTAAAGCCACCTCCTCCTGGCCTGCAAATTCTATGATTTGTTAATTAGGTCTTGCTATGTTGGAAAGTTGTCATGAGATAAGCTAGGGTATGAATTTACAGCACTCAGCCTGCTCCCTGCTGATGTCCCATGGGACATGCTTAATGTGCCGTGTGCCAAGTAGCTCATTCCACTTTGAAAGCA